GCAATGGGCCGGCCATATAGCTCGAAGAACCGACAACCGTTGGGGAAAAAGGTTCTCGAGCGGCAGCCTCGTACCGGTAGGCGTAGTGGAGGGCGACCCTTTACTAAATGGAGTGGCGACTTGGTAAGACACGCAGGAATTCATCAATTAATGGACGCAGGTAGCTCAGGACCGTGCTTTGTGGCATTCTTTGGGGGAGGCCAATATTCAGCAATGGAAATATAATAGCAAATAATAACCCCTGCAAACGTCAACCTCGCTTGCGTCCTTTCCTTTCCTAAATCCTTTCATAAATGGCAAAAACAAATCCTAAAGATAGGTGGTGGTAAATGAGCATGGCATTATCAGTCTCAATGTATTACGTGAGCTCTTAACAACTCCACCTGCCCGGTAAAATATTTTATATTATGCATAGAATATATAAAAGACATGCAACAAAAAACATGCTTCCAAACAAGTTTAAAAATTTTATAGTCGTAAAAATAAATTTAATTTCTCACCGTAGTTTTCACGTTCCAGCAACTTAATCTTTTTCAAACTGCCAGGCGTTTACGATTCATTTAACGAAAAATTGTCGGTGTCGAAAATTTATGAATCTTTTTATATTCGCACTTTATTAAAGTTAAGGTGATTTTCCGTACAGTTTTATTACTTTATACGAAAGGCATAAATAAACTTACGTATATATATATATATATATATATATATATATATATATATATATATATATATATATATATATATATATATAACAAAACTATTTCATTGTATTTTTCCAATTTTTCTATGACAAAATAAAAATATTTACACAACAAACTTGTTAAGACATTTTGCTATAGTTAAAATTGTTGGTGATATTTTAAACACAAATTATTTTGTTTTTTAATTAATTTAAATTTGCCTAGCAATATCAAAGATCTACACATACGATTATGTAACTTTGGTGGGAATCATTGCCGTGGGAATTACTCTGCAACTGTGTTATGTTTCATCATTATGACAACAATTTTTTTAATTAATATTTAATTTAATAGACACCGGTTTATAATCGATGCTGATAAAACGTAAAAACTATGCTAATATTACATTGCTACTTAAGTTACACGATTGCAGTTACCACTAATGACCACGCTACTCGTGTGTACATTTCTGTTTTTGATTTGATTGCTTCCGTTTTGAAAATTTGATAATAACGGATTGAACATTTTAATGTAATACCAATACCTTTATGTAATACGTTACCCTTATGTAATTATTAATGTAATACAAAATTATTGAGAAATTCATATTGATAAATCACTCACAGGTGACGACACGTCTGCTTTTTTCATTCTTAATCGACAGATGTTGGTTTTTATGGGCTACAACAGCATCCACTTACCATCAGGTAGACTGCGCGCTCATTTGTCACTCTTATTTCCATTAAAAAAATTACTTTTTCATCAAATCGATCATGTTGCGTCATCTTCCTATAAGCTGCGTTAACGACCGCATTGACTTACAGTCGGAGTACCTGGCTAGTGGCTACTATGCCACCAGTCCTGGGCTTAAGCTCCAGTGGGGCATTTGTGTAAATCCTTAGTTTGTTGATTTTCACGTACAGTTGTGATTGCTCGCATCTTTCACCCTGCATCCTTTGCTGGCGATTTTACTGCAAAAACGTTACATCTGGTATGGACTGTGAAAAGTCGGTTTAGTGCCATAAAAGTAATTTACAAAATCTGGGTTCGATAGGTGGCGCTATGTTGTTTATGAAAGATATTAATAAAAATATTTACACCGTAACAAGTCCAGAGTGAATTCGTAATGAAGATCATCGCGCCACTTACCAGAAATGACAAAACAACGTCTGCTTAGCCAGCTATAATATATAATATTATAGTTTTTCCAAAATGTTGCTTCTTGGAAAAATAAATACAAAAAATGGAAAAATTATATTTTAAAAATATTATTAATTGTGACTTATAATTAATTAGTTGTAAGATTTAAAATTCTGTAATTTTAATTTTAAGTATTGTGATGATAAAACATGTGTCAACTTAGTCATTCTTAATTCTTAATTAATTCAAATTATCTATTCTGAGTATTTTATGATTTATTATTCAATGTTAGAGTATTTTATAACTACTTTACATATTTAAGTTAGAAAATGGAAGCGCTAGTATATTTACATTTTGTATTTAAATTGAATTTGGCACGTTTGCTTGAGTTTTGTACTTAGAAAATTAAATAGTATGAAAAAACAAGGAACATATTATACGTTTACAGCATTTAACAGGAGTATCTTTTTTAAAACACTTTTATAGTTGCAATATTTTAAAAAATGTTACATTATGGAAAATAATTTGAAATCTTATTTTATGAAAAAGCAGTGTTGTTCATTTACTTTTAAAAATTATAAGTTATTAATTCTATTTTATTAATGATCAATATTTTCGAGATTGGTACAGATTCTGTCAATTATTGTCTAAAGTGCTACGCTCATATTCCCGTATACAGGGTTACTGGTAACTCGACGTATTCCCGCCAAGGCGTGATAGTTGGGGTCATAACCTATCAAATGAACCATAAAATGCATTATGCAAATGTGGACCAATTTCGAGATATTTAGGTTTAATTATTTTTTTTTCAAAAATCCCAAAAGTCTGGTGTCAAAAATTTCTAAAAAAAAACTTATAGCTGTATTATTTTCATTTTATTATTTTTACTTAAAGAAAACCTGGATACTTATTTATCAATACTACAGTGTGCAGAAAGTCTCATCATTTTCGAAGTAACGCTACTAAAAGTACAACTTTTTCCAAACAGTAGATAAGTAATTAAAAATAAAAATGATTTTGTGAAAAATAATTGTATGTGACCAATTGTGCAAATCATGTTAAAAAGATCCCTACTTATCTAGCTACCCAACGAAGTATCAATTTAGCTTATAACTTAAATATTACAGAAAAAACTTGAAAAAAGGGGTCAGGTAGACAAGTTTCGAGTAGCAATGTTTTGGGTAATCCCAAACAATCGCTTCTCGGTACCTTATCAACAGCTGCGGGAATGCTCGTAAAAGATTGTGCGTTTGAACTTACGCTATTGTTTACATTTAGTGTGAAATTAGAAACAAGAAACTGTTCAATCAGTCATCAGTATTACAGGCATCGTACACTCGCGCGCATATTCCTCCCTGTTACACTTAAAGAAGTTGAGTTTCAAAGTTTTATGGCGGCGGAACTACCAAGACGCGGAGATCATGCAAGGCAATCATTTTCCAACGAGGAATACGCAGATATCTTTTATCTCTATGGATATTGTGACGGTGACGCTGCAGCTGCTCGCCGTGAATACCTACAGCGCTACCCTAATCGCCGACCACCCCATGTCACAGAAGATGAAGAAATTTTGAGTAAATTTCAAGAAGATCCAACCACTTCCACGAACATAGTTGCTCGTCGCTTAGGTGTATCGCAGTGGAAGGTCTGGTCTACTGTGCATACTGCGGGGCTTTATACGTACCACTACACACCAGTGCATGTAATGGAAGAAGGAGATTAATATTGGTTTAAAATAAAACACAAATTCCTTTGTCTGCTTAGAACTCGACTACCTGGCCTCATTCTAAAGCTAGATAAATAGGGATGTTTTTAACATGATTTGCACAATTGGTCACATACAATTATTTTTCACAAAATCATTCTTATTTTTAATTACTTATCTTCTGTTTGGAAAAAGTTGTACTTTTAGTAGCGTTACTTCGTCACCGTCATAATATCCATAGAGATAAAAGATATCTGCGTATTCCTCGTTGGAAAATGATTGCCTTGCATGATCTCCGCGTCTTGGTGGTTCCGCCGCCATAAAACTTTGAAACTCAACTTCTTTAAGTGTAACAGGGAGGGATATGCGCGCGTGTATACGATGCCCGTAATACTGATGACTGATTGAACAGTTTCTTCTTGTTTAACTTGTTTCTAATTTCACACTAAATGTAAACAATAGCGTAAGTTCAAACGCACAATCTTTTACGAGCATTCCCGCAGCTGTTGATAAGGTTCCGAGAAGCGATTGTTTGGGATTACCCAAAACATTGCTACTCGGAACTTGTCTACCTGGCCCCTTTTTTTTCAAGTTTTTTCTGTACTATTTAAGTTACAAGCTAAATTGATACTTCGTTGGGTAGCTAGATAAGTAGGGATATTTTTAACATGATTTTCACAATTGGTCACATACAATTATTTTTCACAAAATCAATTTTATTTTTAATTACTTATCTTCTGTTTTTGAAAAAGTTGTACTTTTAGTAGCGTTACTTCGAAAATGATGAGACTTTCTGCACACTGTAGTATTGATATATAAGTATCCAAGTTTTCATTAAGTAAAAATAATAAAATGAAAATAATACAGCTGTAAGTTTTTTTTTTAGAAATTTTTGACACCAGACTTTTGGGATTTTTGATAATAATAATTAAACCTAAATATCTCGAAATTGGTCCACATTTGCATAATGCATTTTATGGTTCATTTGATAGGTTATGACACCAACTATTACGCCTTGGCGGGAATACGTCGAGTTACCAGTAACCCTGTATAACTTTCCTTTAGATTCAATTGTAATTGAAGTCGGCGGTATATTTGTTTACTTAATTTAATTCAAATATAAATATTTCTAGTGAAATATATCACTCAAAGCGTATTAAAGCGTAGCGATAAATAATGTTTATCTATATTTTCTTTCATGAACTTGAGTGGTGTAAAGTGGATAATGTAAAAAGTTCTGAAAATATATTTCTATGTTTAAGCATATTTCCATGCGTAATATCTTTTCGAGTAGAGACATAGTCATCTCAAGTAAGTCATCTAAGATATAAAGTGAAAAATGATAGGTAAAATCTGTTAAGTATGAGAAATAGCATCATTCGAAAATCTAGGATACTATTAAAATGCAATAAATAACAATTGTACTAAATTCGATAAAATTTTACACCAATCCAGCCAGAAATTTAAAGAAAAAATCACTGAAAATTTATGTTATAGGCCTTTTGAAGCCTACTGATGACTAAAAGCATATATTGTGGATTGCAAGCATTTTCATTTAATGAAGAGTCTTGGCATCCTCGTGATTGTATACATTCATAAGTCGGAACAGGGCCGAGACAGCAGCTTAACACTGCGCTATCACATACACTTGGTTGTGATGAATTTTCCAATGTTGGAGCATCTCGTGGAGGATTTACTGCAATAGTTGGCAATGTTTTTGGATCATTAATATCGGCCTGACTGCTTCCGTGTTCAACAGGCGGAACATTTCTTCCATTATCGTTACCCGTTATAATTGGAGTAAGTGAAATGGGCCTACTGCCGTCATCATCATCATCATAATCTGTCGCTGTATTGTTAAAAACCAATCCCCAGTTCTGCCGTTCGTCTTCCATCTCTGGAAGCCTGTCGTGTAACGTCGGTACGGTTTCATTTTGCGGGTTTTTGTTAACGTTTGTTGGCTCTGGAGTTTTAGTTGTCGTCTCGTCACTGGTCGCAGGATTACAACTGCAAGGTGCCTGAGATATGTAAATCGGTACAAATACTGGATACAGACTGGGTGGTGGTGGAGGTGGTGGCGACTTTACTATATTCAGTAACTCTTGTAACCGAAACTGTATATTTGCCAGTGAATTTTCTAACTCGGATGATCTCAAATCATAAGGTGCATATGGTGGATAATTGTACGGAATGGCTGGAAACCATCTTTTCTGCCGTTGACCTTGCAATTTCTTGCCGTAAACGTTTTCATTGTCTTCGATTACTGAGTAAGTTGGATCATTCAATTTTCGTTCATCATGTTCTGATTTCAATGTTTCATCTATAGAATCATTTGGAGCGCAGTTCACATTTTGAGTTGCCAATATTCCGATTAAAATGACAATTATTCGCGCCATCTGAAATAAACAACACATTAAAATATTAATCGCAAGAAAGGTATATCAGTTTACCAAAAGTTTACACATTATGCCAAATGATTCGTATAAATTCTGACAGCAAAAATATTTATACTAATTTTGATAATATAACATTGATTTTATATTTACGTTATTACTGTTCATTGAATAAAATCAATTAATTTACGGATTTTATCCCATTTAATTTCAACTCGTAACCGTGGGTACTGTAAAGCACCCAAACGTAGATAATTAAAAAATAAGTTAAAATGAGAGACGTGGTAGCTCAGTGGTTAAGCGCTCGCTGTAAATATCTACGCGGAGGAATCCGGGTTCGATCCCCGCCGGCACTAATGAAATTGTTAATTGCAATTTTAAGTGCTGATTTACCATGTGCTCGGCGGTGAAGGAAAATATCGTGAAGAAACTTGCTTGTCTGTGAAATAAAAAAAATATTTTGAAGACACGTGAAGTTCGTTAATACGCAATGAGGTAGCGGACATTTTCTTGCCCTAAAAACCTCTCAGAAATGAGAGGAGGTCTATACCTAGCAGTGGGACGTATAACTTTACATTACTTTACTTTAAAATGAAATGCTATAAAATCCGTGAAATAAGTTTTAATCGATACAAAAATATATATTATTTTTAAATTTATTTTATTTTTACGTTTATAAAGTACACATATTTAATTACACAATTTAATATATTGGTAACATTGGTGACAAAATTATTCGCGGATATACATTTACATCACTAGTGTAATTCAACTATGTTGTCAGCACTGTTATTAAAAAAATAAACCTCCTGTCTTGATGTTGGTAGCGTAGTTTGGTGCCCTTTCATACATTTACTTTTACTAAGAGAGTCCTGCCTCTTAAACGTAGTGATTATATTCTCTTTGTTATGCAATGGAAAGTGTATTTTGTTTAAATTGCGGCTTTGCTGGTGGTTTTATGTTGTTGGCACTAAAAATTGTTAAATGTTTCAGAATATTGCTTTTCTGTTTCTTAAAAATTCTACTAAAGTAATAATTACCAAATAATAATAGTAGTTCTATAACTTGTAATATTAGTTATGATAAATAAATCTCTAATATTAAATGAACATTTTGCATATTATATTTTATTGTTTTTAAAAAATGTAATATTAACTTAGTCACTACTCACTTCTTTTCAATAATTTTTTTATGTGGAATATAGAATAAGTTCTTTTAAACGTTTACTATAACATTTTAATATAAATTAATTTTTAATTAACTTTACTTTAAAATGAAATGCTATAAAATCCGTGAAATAAGTTTTAATCGATACAAAAATATATATTATTTTTAAATTTATTTTATTTTTACGTTTATAAAGTACACATATTTAATTACACAATTTAATATATTGGTAACATTGGTGACAAAATTATTCGCGGATATACATTTACATCACTAGTGTAATTCAACTATGTTGTCAGCACTGTTATTAAAAAAATAAACCTCCTGTCTTGATGTTGGTAGCGTAGTTTGGTGCCCTTTCATACATTTACTTTTACTAAGGGAGTCCTGCCTCTTAAACGTAGTGATTATATTCTCTTTGTTATGCAATGGAAAGTGTATTTTGTGTAAATTGCGGTTTTGCTGGTGGTTTTATGTTGTTGGTACTAAAAATTGTTAAATGTTTCAGAATATTGCTTTTCTGTTTCTTAAAAATTCTACTAAATAATAATTCACTAAATAATAATAATAATGTTCTAAACTTGTAATATTAGTTATGATAAATAAATCTCTAATATTAAATGAACATTCTGCATATTATATTTTATTGTTTTTAAAAAATGTAATATTAACTTAGTCACTACTCACTGCTTTTCAATAATTTTTTATGTGGAATATAGAATAAGTTCTTTTAAACGTTTACTATAACATTTTAATATTAATATAAGTGTGTGTCACATTTATATAATATCTCTCTTGCCTTACTCTTGTAACATACAACTAAACATTTAGCTATAATAGTGTTGAGCCATTTGTCGAATTAGAACATAGCACAAGGCTAATTAATTTACTTCTTGCCACTTTTATTCATTTCTTGATTGCGGTAAAATTGTTTTATGTTTTTGTTTTTCTATTTGGTATATTATTGTTACGCGCTAAAATCGGCGCACTAGCGCCATCTAGTCTCGAACCAAAGAACTAAACTTCTTGAAGTTTAAAACTCGAACTCTCGGTACCTTGCGCGTGTTTACTTGAACATTCTGGATATTTTGCTAATTTATATAAGTAGGCGCTGCAAGATGCGATCGGTTAGAGTTGAACTCGGCGACACAAGCGAAGCTTCGGAGCGGAATTAAGTGAATTAGTGTGTTTAATTATTAGTGTTTTTAGTTTTAATTTGTGTAAAGTAAGTTAAAGTGTTAATTTAGGTAATTTTATCGGCAATTTTTATTGTCACGAACCCTAAGCTCGTAACATTATATTTAATGGGCAGGACTTAGCAGGTTTCTATGTAAAGTATGTTTGGATTCAATAAATAAATAAATATAAATAAATAATGTTAAACATCGTATTTTTGCTTGTTGCAATCTCTGTTCTGTTGATTCTTGAAATACCAACACCTTGATTGTTCAATTGATATTACTGTCTTATGTCTGTCGTCAAAGTTTCTCGCAAATTGTATGGCAATCAGGCGTTCGGCATAATAATTTCTGAGGCTCTCCTTCGTCAAAAGCTTGGTTTTTACATAAGAAAAGCACAAGTTTTTGATTTTGTTATGTAAATTGATTATGCTTTTGTGCACCTCGGAGTCTGGATCGATTTGGAAAGGGATACGATTAATCTCTAGATTCATCGTACTCTTCGTGGTGGATATTATGTAGTTCATATTCGGGACGGAATAGTAAGTTTTCATCGGTTCCAATAGTGCTTTCACCCATTCTTCTGTCATGGCTCATATCTCATGCTGCGCTTTGTGCTGGAAGTACACTCTTTTTCCTCTGGGGATGCTCATTGTTGTTTTCTTGTACTTTGTTAGGTCTAAGATCAAGTTAATGAGTTACACATTTTGCAACTTCGAGATCACTTTGAGTGAGAGTCTGTTTAAATGACGATCAGGGCCGGAAGTAATGTACTCCAAAACGCACTGAGTGCATGCAATTGCATAATATTTGTACTCCGTTGCTCGGATAGCTTTACCAAGCTTGCTATTAAACACCCAATTTTTACGGTGTTGATGTAAATGATATGGTAATGGTGTAATTTGGTCAGCGATGACTTTCCAAGGACTGAGTTTATTTCTGTTGGTATTAAATTTTCTCGCTCCCATTGAGCAATCCAGTGAGTTGCTACTATCGTCGGTTGCTGAGCTGGCGTCACCTCTTGTATGTCATCGCTGTTTTCATTATTTTGAGGATTAGTGATGCGTAGTTGCATCTGTCGTTAGTTTCCTCCAAATATTGTTAGATGATTTTAGGTGTGAATTGTCTTCCTCTGTTTGTTCCGGGTTGCGATTCTCCTTGTCCTCGTTTCAAGTCTTAATGTCTTCCGTGAACTTCCATCTCGTCGTCCGAACCGATACACTACGTGTCTTGAGTTTGTTCGTGGTCGCTCATTGTCACTGATTGAATATTGCTCTACGTTGATACTTGTTATTATGTGGTAAGCCACGTACATACTGATGCTCTCTTACGTATTGAACGTCCTTTTATACTACTTGTTTATGCGTGTGTGCGTTGTAAACTTGCCTTTCACTTTGTTTATTATGGAATGTTTGTCGCATGACAAATGCATTGTTTAGGTGTTATGGGAGTGGACGTGTGACGTCTTTCACTTGGAGAACGAAGTGACCTATATGAGTGACGTTATACGTCGTTACGTGTAGTAGTGTAGTGGTAGAACCTACGCCTACGCATACCCGCCTCGCGGGGGCAGGAACGGATTCCATCTTCGTCGCACATTGAGAGGGCCACGGGAGCGCTTTCGCAAACATCCGCGGCTCCACCAATGCCAGCCGCCTCATGGCGGCGCCTCTTCGGAAGAGGACTACTCCTACCCCTTATTCTTCTCAGGTAAGGCGCACCAGAACACATGGCACCTTCCTCCACGGCCTCCAACTAAACCTGCGCAACGGACGCCTCCGTGCCCGATGCGTGAAGGCCATGGGGTCAGGAACAACGGGCACTCAGAAGCACTAACCTTCCTGACCCCAGCGGCGGATCTGGTCTTAGGCTCCGCCACCATACAAGATTCGGCTGCGGAGGGTAGGGAAAGCGGCGCCTCGCAATACCGACACTCCTCTCTCCCTGCAGCCCCACCACCACCGCATCAACGGTGTGGCCCTGTTTGAGTCGCGGAGCGCTGTGTTCCGAGCTTTGAAGCGGCTAACGGCTCGGTCCAGCTTCTTGACGTTTACCCCCATCTCATCTTGTCACTGCCATGAAGATGGCAGGTGATCTGAGGGACTTGACCGGTCCTCCGAAAAGACCGTACAGATCACCCTTGCCAGAAAATCCGGATCGAGTCTCCGTCAAAGAGGCGACCAGGGCCGGAGCTTGCCCAGCACTATCCTGTATAGACGCCCACAGGGATCTTTGTCGAGTCCCTCCAGAAGCTCTTTCTGGGACCGAGACCTGGCATTGGTAATAGCTATTTGTAGCGCCTTTGTGGCCACTCGTAATGCCCCGATATGGTATGATTCTGGCTATCTCCTAAGGCGGAGCTAGCCCTCTTCTCCTTTGGGCTCTAGTGTACTGGCGCCGATACCGCAAGCAGAACGCACGGAGCTGCTCTGTATTTGGGGCGACTGGTTCTGGGCATCGACAGGTCGCAAATTTGCGCCATCATATTCCGAAACTAGTTTGCTTCCACTTCAGGATCAGACTGAACCTCCTTGGCGTTTTTGACATTGTCGATGGCGGCGGCTTCGAGCTTGTCTCGATCGAGCCGCTTGAGACATCAACGCAGCGGTGCGCTGCTCTCTCGGTGACTGGGGTTATGGTCGGGCTGTCGAAGTGCGA